TAAAAATATAGAAATAATTATAAAATGTAAAAGTTATAAGAAAATGTGATTTTGCATAACCACAAAAAGATTAAGGAATTAGGGATTTTTATGCTACTACGGTAACACTATTATTAATTTTGTGCTTTTTATATATTTATAATTCTGAAGTATTGCTAAAGTATTACAAAAATTATTACTAAATCTTAACTAAATTTATAATTGATATATCAATTAAATCATTCAAAATTATATATATTTTAAAGATTAATTGATTGACTAAAAATCTAAAATTCAAAAAATTATGAAATTTATATTATTATAATAATAGTAATGATAATTAATAATAATATATATTTATTAAAATATTAAATAAAAAACTAGAGAATCTTTAATATTAATTTAAATTTAATTTTTTTATATTTAATAATAGAATTATATATATTACTCTTACTTAATAATAATAATAATAATATATATAAATATATAAAAGAAAATTATAATAATAATTATTAATTAAATATTATTATTATAATATATATTTATAAATATATATTATAATTAAAGTTTTATAATATTAATTTATTTAAATTATATTAAATAAATAAAATTATAAAATTCTTATATAAAGCTTTACTTAATTATAAAGAAAAGATTATAATAACTTTAATTAAGAATTTAGTATTAATATTAAATAAATAATAATATATAATAAAAAAAATTCTTATATTTAATTGATATTTATTTAAGAAAATATAAGAAATAATAATTAGATATACTAAGAAAACAGATAATAAATTTATTAAAATAATAATAAAATAAAAAAATAATTTCTTTTCTTGCTAATTATATAATTAAACTAATATATTATTATTATTATTAATAATAATATTAATATATAATTCAAAAATATAATAATATAGAAGCTTATAATATAAGATAACTTTTTAATATATAAAAGATTAATTTTAAAGTTATAGAAGAAGTTAAAAATAAGATTTTAAAGCTAAATATTTATTTATATTATCTTAATTATAAGTAAAATACTATATATAAATCTGAATTCAAAATATAAATAAAATAATATAAATAACTAAAGAAAATATTAGTATATTATATTATTATATTCTACAAAAATTCTAATACTTTTATAATATATTATATTTTATTATTTTTTTAGTTTTTTTGTAAAATTTTTGATTAATTATTTTTAATTATATATAAATTATATAAATTTAAAATTTTAAAAAGTTTACTTTCTTTTTATAATAATTATATTATATGGACTAGTGCAAAAAGATTGGTATATCAATATCAATATAAAAATTAATAATTGCTTCTAATAAAAATCATTTAAATTTTTATAATTTTTTTATATTAAATAAAGAATAATTTAAATTAATTTTTTATATATTTTAATTATTCTATTATACTTTAATTTAATAATAAATAAAGCATTACTTTACTAAAAAAACTAAACTAAAATTATTTTTTTTAAAAAAAAAGATATTTTAAATATTATCACTATCAATTTACAAGATTAGAACTTTAAACTACACAAGCAGGTTGCTCTAGATTTGATAAATATATATTCTAAATTTCATAAAAATTAAATTAGTAGTTATAAAGATATTAAGATTCAAAGTTTAGTAATTAAATTATTTACTATATAATTTTTATATTAATTTTAATCAAATTTTATATAATAAAATTTAAGAAATAATAATTCAAAAAAGTTTATATTAGTAAAATTTTTTTTATAAAAGATATATAATAAAAATTTTTACATTTAAATAAATTCCAATATCTAATAACTTAATTAAATAAGACAAAATTAAAATTTTATTTTGAAAAAATAATCTATTAATATTTATCAACCGGATCATATTAGAATTTACATGAACAAAGATATCAGATCACAATTGGTAGATCATCCCGTGACAGCGGAAATTTGTGGTTCGGAATCACATGATCGGCCTTTTTTTCGCCGCCAGTACGCGTGGTGTGATATTTATTTTTTTTTTGAGTTAAAAGTATGACAGATTATTTTTATGAGGAGTCAAACCATCGTTATAGACAATTCAGTCAAAACCTTTCCAAGCATGTTATAGAGGTAAGAATAAATAAGTAGAATTTATTTATTAACACGCCTTTTCCTAATACTAATTGCTTCCATTCAGGATTTTGAGATTGGTCAATTACTTGGTCGTGGTGGTTTTGGCGATGTGTATAAAGCCTTCGCGAAAAAAGGGGAATTTTGTGGAAAAGAAATTGCTATAAAAATTGTATATCATGTTTTTTTACTAGTATAATTATTTATTACTGTAATAATTTATTGTATTTTGTATCTGTATTAGATTGACAAATCTTCTTTAAAATCGGATGCCCTTCAACGTGTATATTCAGAAGCGAAAATCCATGCAAAACTGTCTCATTCATCTATTCTCAAGCTTTATTACTCGTTTGAAGACTCTAGATATTTTTATATGGTAATGGAACTGTGCCATAATGGAGAACTTTACAAATATATTCACCAACGCAGAGTTCCGCTTAGTGAAGCTGAAGCTAGATGGGTTATGATACAAATCATAGAAGGTCTTTTGTACATGCATGAACATGGTATCATGCACAGAGACTTAAAACTCTCGAATATTTTGTTGACTGAAAGGAATGAATTGGTAATTATTAGCATTAATTTCATATAATTTGATATAAGTAATATAATGCTTATCAATATGTACGAATATCATAGAAAATTGCGGATTTTGGTTTGGCTACTAATATTAATGAAAGAAATGGTGAACCAAACACTTTGTGTGGAACCCCTAATTATATTTCTCCGTAAGAATTAATATTGAAAATTATTTTGAATTTTATAAAGGTGCTGCTGTATTGATTTATTTTATCTCGTGTTTGTTTTATAAGTGAAATAATATCGCGAAAGCCATATGGACTGGCTACTGATGTTTGGTCTCTCGGTTGTATGCTTGCTACGATATTAACCGGTCAAGCACCTTTTGAAGTAAGCATTATTTATTACTCTTTTTTTATTGTTATAAATTTCATTGTATATATTCATTTTGATTATCTTTTTAGAGTAAAGAAGTACAAAAAACATTAGATCGAGTGACAAAAGCAGATTACGAGTTACCTAATACGCTTTCAAGAGAAGCCAAAAATCTGATTAATCAGTTATTACAAGTAGTGAGTAATATTATCCTTTTTTATGTATAAATATTTTTGTATTCTTATCTATGATTTATTCTTATTTGACTGGATCATTTTATATAATAATAAAGCAGAATAGTAAATTATATATTAATTCAAATTACAGTACCCATCAAAAGTATTCCCTCCCACCCTAAATCAACAAGGAGATAAGATAAATAAAAAATCTTTTTTTTATTTAAAAGCTCTGATTTCATACAACAAGGTTAGTACATGATATAATCACCCTTAGTCTCAATTAAAGCTTCTACACGCTTTCTTATACTTGAGACTAATCAGACCGCATATTCTTTAGGTAAATGATGTCATTCTTTTTGTAATTCCCTCTTTAAACTCTTAACAGTTCTAATTTTTTTTTGCCAGATTATTTTTCATGAGTCCTCAGACATTTTCAATTGGGTTTTGATCAGGAGACATTGATAGTTATGGAAGCACCTTTATATCTATTTCCTTCTTCCATACCTTCGTAATTTTTGAATGATGCTTGGGATCATTATCTTCTTGAAGAATCCACTGATCATTTTCCTGACCAAAAAGTTCATCAACAGATGGCAAAAAATCCATTTCATATATATTTAGCAGGAAATTGGCATTGAGATTTCTCACAAAGCAAATCAACTTGCCAAAGCTTGCAGATGAAAAACACTCTTATACATGGATCTTTAGAGGATGCTTTACAGAACGACTTATCTTTCTTCTTTCAGGAAATTGCCAAGCCCATTTTATGTCTTGATTTAGACAAAAGGTGCTTTCATCTGAAAAAATCATCTTGTCCCAGTTAAAGTTTCTATATTTTTTTGTCCATTCCAGCTGTTTTTGCTGATATTTCTCTGTGAGAAGAGGTTTTAAAAGCTTGTTTATATATTTGCCTTTCTCTTTATGAAGATAACATTGTACAGTATGTATACTAATATTAATATTCTGCTTAATCATCTCCTTTTGAATTTCTGGGGCCATTATATCAATTTTTTTTTTGCAAGCTTTACTATCCGCTTGTCTTGTTGTTGGGTAGTCACTCTTTATTGATCTGTCTTTGATTTGTCACTCAAGTCTTGATTTTCTCCCCATCTTTGGATCTAATAATGGACTATTTTTTTATCACAGCGAACTATTTTAGCTATCTCATGTATTGACAGCTTGGAACCTTTTGGATGGATGTGTAAAAAGATAATTTCATATCATTGACTTAAATTTAAAGGCATTTTTTTTAGTCTTTTTTCAAATGTAATGGAATTTTTGTTTTTTATTAATATATAACCTCCTAAAATATAGGTGTGATTTATATTTGGGCTATACTATATGCATGTAAAATTATAGTATCATGCATGTGATTGTTTGGAAATTATAGGGGAGGAGATACTTTTGACGAGTACTGTATATAAATTCAAATTACTAATCTAAATTTATCTAATAATTAACAAGTCAGATAATTTTATAATATTATTATTATTTCTTATATTATTACAAGATAATATTATAATTTTTTTTATTATTTTAAATATTTGAAAAATAAAAAATAAAATATTAATTAAAAATAATTATATGAATAATATAAATATAAAACTCTATTTATACAAGAAATATAAAAAAATCAAATTTTATATTTTAAGTTATATTTAATTTATAAAAAATATTATAAAAAAATAATAATTTAAATAAGACTTTAAATATAAAAAATAATTAATTAAAAATATATAAGTCTTTTTAATATTAATCACTTATATTTAATATTTAAATATAATATAATAACTAATATCTTTTAATAATAATTTTTAAATTAATTATATTTATTATTTCTTAAAATATTATAAATTTAATATATAGTGATAATTAAAAGTAATAACTAAAGTCTAAATTTATTAATAAAATATAATGAAAATTGAAATTTTCTTTCTATATTAATATTTATAATTTTATTAAGAAATAATTTTTATTTTTATATTATAATAAAGTTTATTAGTTATAGTTTAATATATATTTTTTTCAGATTTTTTAGATTTTTTCTGAAAGAGTTGCTCTAATTGTAAAGTTAGTGCAAAAATTTTTATTAATTAAATTTCATTTTTAATTAGTAAAAATTTTTGTATTAACTTTATAATTAGAGTAACTCTTTCAGAAAAAATCTAAAAAATCTGAAAAAAATATATATTAAACTATAACTAATAAACTTTATTTTAATATAAAAATAAAAATTATTTTTTAATAAAATTATAAATATTAATATAGAGAGAAAATTTTAATTTTTACTATATTTTATTAATAAATTTAGTTCCTGAATTATTACTTTTGATTATCACTATATAAAAAATAGAAATTTTAGTTAAAAAAAAGATAAGTAAATATAATTTTAGTTAGTATAATATTAAAATTAAAATAATATATTTTTTAAATTATATATTTAAATAGCTAGATTTAATTACTTAAATATAATATATAAGTCAAAACTAATTAATTATATGATTTTATTTAACTTTTGAAAATTTTAAATAAAAATTTAAATTAATATAAAAAATTAATTTATAATATATTTTTTATATATTATATAATTAGCTAATATATTACTTATATAAAATAAATTTGACTAATTAAATTAATAATAAAATTAGTTATAAAGAGTTATAATTCTAAAACTTTTCTATATAATTAATATTTTTTTATTATATAATTAGATATTTTTTTTGTTAAACTCTTATAATATATATTTATATAATAAAAAATTTTTTAGTAAAATCTTAGATAATTAATAATAATATCAAATTTAATTTATTTAAAATAATTTCTTATAATTTTTCTAAGTATAATTATAATTTATATATTATTATTATTTTTATTATTTTAAGTTTATATATATATAAATATTTTAAAATAATAATAGTAACTATATTTATAATAATTATTAATTTTTAGTTTTAAAAAAATAAAAGATTATCTTCTTAATAAAATAATTCAAATAAATTCTAACTTCTAATAAAATATTTTCTTAATAAAGCAAGAAGAAAATTATTAAAGATAATATATAAAATATATATATTTATTATAAGAATAATACTAATTAACTATTCTTAACTTAGTAATTAACTATTTTTATTAAAACTTAATTATTTTTCTTGATCATTTCTTAATTCTTTATATATAATATTTTTAAGTTATACTAATTTACAAATTAATTTTAATATAATATTCTATTTAATTTACTTAAAAATAAATAAAATCTTAAAAAAATTATTATAAACTTTTTTAAATTAAATATAAAATAATTAAAAATCAAAATTAGTAAAATATTAAAAAAATTATAATTAAAAAAAAAATTAATAATAATTAATTAAAAAATTAATAATTTAATAAATTATATATTTAGTATAATATATATAACTAAATTATATTTAAAATTAATAAATAAATAAGACTAAATAGAGATAATAAAATAAATTAAAAATAAAATTATAAATTAAATAAATTAATTATTATTAACTTCTTGTATTTTTAATTTAAAAATAATTATTAACTATATTACTTATTATGATTATATTATATTACTATATCTTATATAATAATTAATTTATTATAAGACTCTTGGCTTTAAAAGACTTACTATATAAATCTTTAATTATTATTAATTATAATAACTAATTTAGTTTGAGTTCTATAAGTTTAGTTCTCAATTTGTATTTAAATAGATTTTAGTTTTAAGAAAATTCTAAGAAATCTCTCTTGTAAAATAGATCTTGATTAAGATCTATTATTTTATCTTATTAATAAACTGATTATTATATCTGTCTTGAAATTATACTTTGAAATTGGATTATATTTTAGTTAGTTATAATAAAAATATTATTATTATCTATCTTTAGATAAATTCTAAGATAATAATATTTATATTTTTATTAATAAATCTTTTAAAAATTCTCTTAATATTACTATAAGTATATAATTATTTTTATTACGTACTTTTATAATATTAGAATTAATACTTATTCTCATATCAGATCTATATCAAAAAAGATAATAACTTTTTGATACCTTCTCTATGAAAAAATAATTTTAAAGAATTATCAATTCAACTCAGATCTAGATAAAGAATTCTTTATAAAATCAATAAAGAATCAAAAGTAATTGAAGAAATAATTTTGCAATATATTAAAGTAGATCCAATTAGAGAAATCAAAATAGAAAAAGAAAGACTCTTTATTCAACTATTTACTAAATTACAGCTTGAAGATTATATTGATTCTGATTATTAAGTTATCTGAGAAAAATTCTATTATTTTTATCAAGAAGTAATACATAATGAAACTTAAATCAAGACAAGAAAAGATTTTGCAACTTTAATAGAAAATGAAACTGATTTATCAATAGAATAAATATAAATATATTTTTATCAATTATAATAAGAGATACTTGAATTTAAAATAAAAAAAGTAAATATTTAACAAAACAAAAATAGAGAAAATAACAAAACTTACTCATAGAAGTATCTAACTTAAGCTAGTTAAAATCAAATAAAAAATTATTAGATATCTTATAACAGTTTGAAAAATATAATTCAGATACTCTTGAATAAATATTAATATAATCATCACTAAAGATAACTTCTTAACTAGTTGTAGTTTACGGTAGTCAATCAAAAAATTATAACAGAATTATAATAGTTAATCAGAGAATTATAACAGAATTGCAACTAATTGTGGCTTCTATCACTAGTTATTACTCAATAAATACTTAGAAATATAACTAAGTACTCAAGATATATCTATTATTTCAATATTTATTTTATTAATACCACTTGAAGAAGAAGAAATGAATAAAAATAAGAAAAATAAAATATTATCTTTATCAACTGATAATAAATTTGAAGATTTAATAAATAGAATTAGAATACTTACTATAACTCTAGAAAGATCAAAAGAAGCTAACTATATCAAAATTGTAGATTCTATAGTGATACTCAAGATTCAATTGGTTAGCTTTAAGACTTCAAAAATACTTGCATTACTAATAATATTAATAATAAAAAAAAATTCAGATAGTAAGAACTTATTTAAAAGATTCAGTTGCTATATAATTTGTTAATAAAAAGTT